TGGAAAAAAGACAAAGAATGATCCATAAATACAACTATAGACTATAAGTATCCACTGAAGAATTTTTTAGCAAACTTTTGTATTGCAAATAGATCATAGTAACTATAGTAGTGATACAATCATATACTTCAAAATTAGACGCTTCCCAAAATAAATATAAATTATGATGACAATATGTTCGGTGGCGGTGTATACTTTGAGCGTTCCCTAAAACACAATCCATCATTTTCAGTTTATTTTACCTTTTACAAATTTTGAACCATCCAATTGTAAAAGAACATACGAAAAAGAATACTAAATCTTTCCCATTCAACGTCCACTCTCCCTTAAAATTCGTGCAACTTGAACTTTCTGTGGTAGACAACAGTAATCTAACAGTTAATTTAAATTAAGTCAGTTAAAAGTTATTGAAAGTGAAAAGGAACAGAATTATACAGATTCTTTATTTATAATTGATTAATATTTTTTTTTATACTTTTTGAAATCTTGAGAATTAATAAAATATGACAGGAAAATGAAGAATGATATATAATTAGAGATTTTTTAAATATGAACTAACCATTCAGTAATATTTTTCAAGACAATGGTGGCCAAACTTCGCATTTTGTCTGAAGACCGCTCATCACTAGCAACCTGCTGTAACAAAGGGATACCACCCTCGTGAAGAACATAAGCACAATATTTATCTCCTACAAAAAACATTAAAATTTTGAACAAATGCAGATATGATGGCAAAATGCGAAGGTATCGTAGGGGAATAAATTAGCGAAGAAATACAACGAGAAAAGAGAAGAGAGAGCAACAACAGTAGGGTTACGACAAAAAATTAGCACCTTTTAGATGGTTTCTTTTTCAGCAGTAGAGGTTTATCTTTGTTACATGAAGTAAGAATTAAAAGTACACACTCGCAGAATAAAACTTACTATCAGTAGATGTTAGATTGGCAAGTGCCCAAATTGCCCAATGTTGGCTTGCTGGAGCATCGAACATTGGTATGAGCCTCAAAATTGGCTTAAATGATCGATAATTTATGAATCTTTTCGCTTCCAAATCCCAAGTATTAGTAGCCTAAAAAGTATTCATTCGTAATGAATTATATTAGAACTTTCTAACAATTGAATTATTTTAAGAGTTCCCGCAATATTAAACAATTACAAATACTACGCATTTAGAAGCTAAAAGTTTTATACATACCATACGTGTAAATGTCATGAAATTAAGAATGTTGTGTTTTATACATAACATCCCGAATCGGTTCCATGGCATTAGCTTATTTAAATTAAGATGATTATGAGTTGTAATCTACTTTAGCCTTTATAAAGACAAAATGAGTAGTCATACCTTGATAATTTTGTCCATGACAAATGCACGTGATACACTGACTTTTGACCACGCTGCTTCTCCATCACTAACCATATGAGCAAGCACTCCTGCACTGTTGTAACTAATTTCAATACCATCCACTAACATTGTCAATAGAGCACTAAAAATGAGGAAAATGAGAAATATTTAGAATTTGCATTACCTAAACAATGGTAGAATTGCATTATTTAAACTATGCACATTATTACTAGACATCTTTCGGTCCAGATAAATAGAAAGTACTAAAAAGACATAAACTGATCAAGTAATTCATTATCATTATAACAAACACTTCTGTTCTTACCAGAATATATTGATATAATCATCAAGCATAAGCTGTGCACGGAGTTGTTCTACTTCAGCAATATTACCGATCAGACCCATCATATTGCGAACAAGCTCTGTTTCATTTTGAAATTGCTGATAACATTGATGAAATAAACGAAGACCATCAGCGTTGAGGAAGCGCTCACAGTTGACTGGTGTTTCATCTGTGAAATAATAAAATTAGTAATTAAAGTTCTTTATTTTGTAAACTCAGGCATAGTAACATTTTAACTAAATAAACTAAATTATAGAATTATTATCACTGTATCCATATTTCTTAGTGGCTGACTCAAGTATTCAAACGTAGTTAGAGATTACGGTATAGATTATTTTCAATTAGAGGCGGAATGAAAAGATTAATGCACAAAAGATCCGTTAATCACCCGTAATTAATTCCTGTGTTGTTAAAATTTGAAACTTGTTTAGTACTATGATGAAATAAAAGAATAACCGGTGATATTCCACAGAAAACTCCATCCTACTTCCATGACATCATCGCAAATGCTGGCTGCATGTTTTCTGCGAATTTGTTCCAGAATAATCTGCATATATGAAAGAATAAATCTACAAACTTTTTGCAGCGATTATTAATGAAAAAATTTGTGAAAAAAGTGGCAGCACGAATCAAATTGCCAAATTTAAAGTAATGTCAAAAACTTGTAATATCCGTCTACGAAAACAAAAAAAGTTTCAGAAATATTCACTTCAATGGCACCAATGTTGCCAACTTGAACTTTCTGCTCGCCTTCCACATGGCAGGCCATTGAATTTAATAAAAAAACTACAATGCGTTGAGTTAAGTGATCACTGTTGTGATGCTGCAATACAGCAACGAGCAAACGCGCTACACGACCATAATCGAAAAGGATTTCCAGCGGTATTTCAAATTGGCAAAGTGATAAACAACAATTTCGAACCATTACCTGGAAAAAGAATACCATTTTAAAAACAATAAATTCAAAATTTGCAAGCACTATAAAACACCAGTCAATTACATATTTAAATTAAAATAAAAAAGATATTTAAAATAAAAAAATACATATCTAAATTAAAAAATAAAAAATACCTGCTCTTCCATATGTGCATCCATTCCATCCAACAACGCGGTGACAACCATTCGTTTTGTATCACGATTCATACTCACTTTGCGAATTATATAAAACAATGAGGCTGATCCAGCGATCTGTAGTGTACTGTCTTCCAGATGGCGTTGCATAGCACCCAAAACAAGATGCAAAGCTTCGGTGTGTCGATTCTAAAAAAAATATAAAAGAATATATAAGTTTTCACATCTTAACCTTCCCTTTTATGTTTTCTTAAATCTGGATTCTTCTCAAAAGAGAAAATAATGGTCTTCTATACCTTTCTTCATTCAACTTTTAAATCCTAAAAGTCTAAAAACCTCTTTAAATTCAAAGTGAAACACTTACTAAATTATGTCCAAATCTATAAAGTTGATAACTTTCATTTAAAACTGCTTGTAGTAAACCAGCACGTTGACTGTACATTCGAAGAGCAAGTAGAATTTGTTTTTCATCTTTGTCACCAGCAATCTGAAGCATTCAGATAATTATAATTCAATCCTTAAGCAAACAGTTCACAGATAACCAGAACTAGCAAATGCGATCATTCAATAATAAATTATGTTAAGCAACATATAATAAATGAACATTTGATAAACCAAGTGCAATCGATGATAAAGATTTGTATGTTCTGAAAGTAATTTTGTTAAAAAAGAAGAAACTCGCATTTTTTGCCGGTATTTCAGCGAAATGAGAAGCACTGTCACAGTTAAACAAGCCCAAATATTCCAGAGGTGCTCCCAAACAACGAAGACCATAGATATCCGATCTGACAGATGTTGTTCTAAAAATAAATAACAATCAGTAACTTTTTGAAGTTGCTAATAAAATAATTGTATGTTTTATAGAAAATAAAATTTTTACTTTATATTTTCCGATCATAGAATGAGTGTCTTACCCTTTTACGGGGCGGTCGTAAGTAGACGGTTGTGAAGCAAGATTGGTTGATGAAATATCCAAGTGAGTAAGTGATCTTAAACATGTAACAATTCTGTGAAGTGCTGTTACTGGACGTGGATATGTACCGGTTTCTTTTGTACTTTGCGATAAATCTAAAAATCTAAAAAAAATCCACTGATTAATATGTCAATTACTACAATAATAAATCTGCTGAATATTAAAATTTGCAAGCTTATGGTATAGCTGTGCATAGGATCCCCACAATAGTACTTTAAAACATTTGCAAACTTAACTGATGGAAATCTTATTAGTTGAGAAGAATTGGCAGCTAGCATTCCGGTTCCTTCTAGAAGGTAGACGCACAATTACTCAAAGGTCCGCAAGGAAAATATCTAATATATATATTACTTATATCAATAAATAACAATTATGGCCATTAAGAAGATTCTGTTGAGAGAAAAGAAGTCTTTCACCATAATTAATGATATTATCAATGATATTATTATATGGAATGCCAAAAAAGACTAAAGATATTCGGAAATTTACTTAAGAGTAGTAATCTGTACAATGGTATCCATAGCACGATAAAGATCCGGCACATCGTAGAGAATAAGTGTTGAAAGTGAATGAGGATGCAAACAGTGCAAATCATCGACTCGTTGCCAATAGGAAAGATCCAAACGTTCCAACTTTTTCAGCGGTAATAAAACACGATTTAAAAATTCATTTACTGATTCATCATTTTCACAGTGACTGCGTTTCTGAAGATAGTTAATTTTGATCAAACAAGAAAAGATATTTAAAACTGCATATGCAGGATTATCGTGGATACTGTTTTTGGATTTATACAATGTTACAGATTTTTTTTTGCCTCTATGTTTATGTAGGTGTTGTTTACTAACGATTATTGTAGTAAGGCGTATTTTATGCATCATTTTTATTTGGTTCTTTTGGATTTTTTTGATTGTTTTATATTATATTAGTTAAGAAGTCAATCATTTTTTTAGTCGAAAGGAGAAGTGGCTCTTAGAAACACGTTAGATAACGACTAAATACTTCCGCTTGCCAACGTATTAATAGTAATAGCTATTAACGCAAAACTTGTGTAAAACAAACCGCTTTAAAATTTAGAAAATCAAGACCTGCATTTTTAAGATTAAAAAAAATGAAGAAAGATATGATACAAACACAAACCCGATGAAGAGTCAGTGAACGAATATTTGGACAGCGTAACGTGAATGTCGGTATTTCAATCGTAGGGCTAGGTGTAGGTGCTTCCGTTAGTTCGCTATTTTCGGAAGCAGAACGGCAACTAAAAAGTTTTTATGATGCTTAATAAAGAAAATTATAGAATTAAGCTTTCAATTACGAAGACCACGCATTTAAAAAAAATTCCATCGCTTTTTCTATTCCTCACTCAAAGGAATAAAATTTAATCTAATGATATTGAAAAAATGGCGATTACTAGAAACATTAAAACAAATATGAAGTAAAATCTACTTTGAAGTAGATGTTGGACCACTATCCGAAGTATCCATGTAATGATCAATATTTATATCAATGCTGGAACCAACAAGATCTTCTTCGGAAAGTATTGGTAATGTGCCGCCCGAACCACTTGTCGAATAACTAGCACCAGTTTTACGAGGAGGGACAATAATCATTGGTATACGAAGGATTTCAAATGAGGTCATTGATAATGATATAAGTTGATCTAAGTGGACCGACTTTTCTTCCAATACCCTATTAAATTCATGGCCAACAATCCCCTGAAAACAAAGTTCATTTTAATTACTTAATCAATAAGTAAGACTAACCACAAAGTAAATGAGCGAACTTTATGATCAATCAAGGCAGTTTTGAACTGTTGGTATCAGTAATCCGCTGTTTCCTTTGATTTAAAGATACTATACATTTTCTGTTTTTTAATAATCCAAATACACTCTTTTTCTATCCTGTACTATCATTTTTTTAATATATATTTAATATTTCGATAAAATTTGCAAACTAAACTATAAATAATCCAACCTGTGTATCAGATATATCGAGGGACGTCAACTGCTCATGGTGTGCTGCCACTAAATTGGCCAACAGACGATCGGTCAGATGAGCGCGTGATAATGGTAAACTGTCTAAAGGCAAATGTGCCGCTTCCGTGAATTGTTCTAAAGCAGCAGTTGGTGTTACACCCTAAAAAAAAGTGAACTAATAAGAAAGTCCACGAAAAACGATAGGATAATACATGTAATAAATCATATTTAGAAAGAAAAAACGTAATAACGTTTTTTACATTTTTTTAAGAAACAAAAAACTTTCTCTAATGATACTATTAATATGGTGCTAAGCTAAATTCAAAGCTTAATTTTAAAAGTTAATTTATCAAATTGAACACATGTGAAATAATAAATCAAAGCTTTTAGTAAGAATGACATAATATAGCAACAAATCAGATGCATACCGTTTTAATCCATTGATCTCGCAAAGAACCAAAAACAGCAGTACTTGCTGGCAAAGGAAGTTGAAATATGGTATCTGCACCACTGCTAACATTTCGTTGCTCTTGCTGATGCTGGTGCTGTTGTTGTGAACGACATTGGTTGCTATATTCACTTATATTAGATTTTGCATGTGCCAAAAGCGTACTGGAATGTGCGGCGACAACATTGGCGGAGAGTTGTAATAATCGCGGAGCTCGCAATGGAATATCCGCTTCTGTATAGGTCATTGTCAAGTCTACAAAATTCAAATTAAAATTAGACTAGATTAAACTTCTGTTCTAAATGCTGTGATCGATATTTTGCAAAACATATTTCATGAACTGACAATTAACGAAGCTAACAATTACTCCAATAATACAAACATACGTGATTTTTTTTTGATCATTGAGTTATTCCGTATATGTTAAAAAACAAAAAAACAAAACGAAAAAAAAACTTGAACCCCATATATTAATTCACATCACATTGAAATTAATGTAATTAGAGATTGGTGGATGATTTATCCAGAAAGAGTTGTAACTAAAAGCAAAAATCAATAACTATATTCATCCAAGAAATAAACAACTTCTCACTGAATTCGATAGATGTGCTGCAGTAAGGGCACAATCAACTGGCACTACTCTTGCCACCCTCTATTTCGATTATACTAAAGAACGACCACCAATTTCCATTAACTATTTTAATAAAAATGACTGTCCAATAGGCAGCTAGATTTTATTTTATATTTCTTTTCTATCTTATACTGCTCTAAAAAATTATCGCCTATTCCAATGAGAAATGAAATTATTGTTTAGAGACAGCAATATTAATTAGTTGGAAATAACACTTAATTGAGATACATATTATCATGGCTTATAATATCAAATTCCGAAAGTAATCTTTAATATAGAACTGTAAATGATAACAGTGAACAACGAGATTTTCAATCCGATGAGATGCATAGCAGCGTAAATACGATGATTAAATCATAGCAATAGTTATCTCAAAGAATCCCTTCACATTGGTCGATAAAAACAAATTCTATCTCATTAAGCAACAGCGGTTGTCATTAGTTACCAAAGGTTAAAGATAGCTAATGACATTCAAATAATAACACCGATCATTAGTATCACTCAGTTTATCACGTTGGATTAAATTCATTACCAATACTTGCAATTACTATTATTTTAAAGGAGAGGGTTAAAGGTCATTTGCAGCATATCCCATTCCGATGCTCATGTTGCTGCTTCAGTGCTACTGCGACCACCACTTGTTAAATTTTAAGACACCTCACTTGTTTTTGTGAGAATGTTGGAAGAGAGAGTGAGGTAACATTAAAGTTAGGATGTGACATAGCACCACCCGAGAACACACACACATACACACATGGAGAAACGACTGGAGCAAGGAGCAGATATCAACACCATGAACCGAAATTGAAGTCAACATGGATTTGTAACACACACACACACACACACACACACACACACAC